ATGGGCATGTAAACAAGAAAATAGATATTAAATATCAAGACTCCCAGGTATAAATAACTAAAGGGACAATAAACAAGCACAGAGAAATAAAAACAATCACAAAGATATGAAGACTTGTACTACTACACTAAAAATTAAAAATGCAAGTTATATTGACATACAATTTACTAATAACAAGTTAGCAAAGACTTTTTCTAAAATCTAAGACTCATAAATTTTGGTGGCCCAGGGTGCTAAGAAAAGGCACTTATAAACTATTGTAAGGAAGGTAAACTAGTACAATCTTTCTCAAGAGTCATCTGGCAAAACTGGAAGACACACATAAACTAACTAATGAAAATAATCAGGAAAATTATTGATACTGAAAAGTGGCTGCTATGCAGGAGCATACGAGGGCTTTATAAAGAAGAGTTAGGTCAACCCAAGGCAAAGCTTCCTGTTCCTCTCAGCCTAATGGGTTTCAAGTAAGTGCTTCTTAAACTATCTCTGATGAAAGAACCAGAGTGGTATTTTATTTTATCTGTATTTGTTTCCAATCTATGTCACAAAAGTACAAGAAAAATAAATTAAATGATACACAACAAAAATCTGTATTTTTAAAACTATCAGAGTTAACATAAATTTAACATTCACCTTAATTTCTATACTAATGTTGTGCTTATTCTTGTGATCCATGGGCCACATTTTGAGCACCACTGTTGTACATGTCTCGTGCCTGAGACATACTAATAGGCCCATATGTAATGGTTCTTGAACTTCACATTATTAGAAAAATATTAATCTGAATTATCAGTGGATTATTACCCTCATTTTGAGGAAATCCTGTAAGGGCTAGGCATACTTGACTGCTCTACGCCAGCCTTGGAAACAGTTTTGTTCTCTCTCATTTTGAATAATGTATAATCTCTCTTGCAAATCTGGTAACTTCAAATGTGAAGCAAACCACAGAAAATCAGATGTAAAATCAAAAATTTTACATCTTTTTACTCAGTTCTCACCAAATCAGCCTACATAGTAAGATGTAATTCCAATCAAAGTATCATCCATCTTTTGTTGTTTGTTTTACTTCAACAGGATTAAAACAAATCCTGGAGGGTATTGAGATTCCTTTTAATTTCGGGAACATTAAGGATCAGGAAAATTAAATTGAGTCTCAATACCACAAGGGAAATTCATGATGACCCTTGATATCTGGTAAAGGAATGATAGGATGGCATAGAGTGATCTTACTCTACCAGATACCAGTTAATTTTATGAAGTGACAGAAATTAATGTGATTCTGACGAAAGTAATGGTAGCATAATAAGAATTACAGAATAAAACAATTACAGCAATAATATTTACTGAGCATCTGTTATGATGAAGGCACATGGCAGGACCTTAATATTCACTATGTCATTATTCCTCACGACCTTACAAAGTAGATGCTATCATTATTCCCATTTTACTACAAGGAAACAAGCTTAGAGGTTAAATAATTTAATAAATGATATGGAAAAAATATATATATCAACTTAAAAAATGGAGTCCACAAACACCCAATTTAATGCTAAGGGTAGCATTTCAAAGTCACTGAGGAATGCACTGCTTATCTATTAAAAGGCTGCAAGGCAAGAGATGATGAGATTATAAAATTCATTTCCATCCAACCTAGCAACAAATACAAATAACATGTACAGGTGCATAAAGAGATAAATATTAAAAATAAACTATAAACATTCTGGAACAGTGGTTCTCAACCTTCCTAACGCCACAACCCTTTAATACAGTTCCTCATGTTGTGGTGACCCCCAACCATAAAGTTATTTTCGTTGTACGGTTGGGGGTCACCACAACATGAGGAACTGTATTAAAGGGTCACAGCGTTAGGAAGGTTGAGAACCACTAGTCTAGAAAATAGAAAAATAAAATCATTGAAAAAAAAATTGTTAGAGAATTCCTTTCTAACAAAAAACAAAACACAGAGAAGTCAAAGTTGATTATGAAAACCTTAATGGATCTTTAACAAGCAGAGTACAATTTCAAAGAAGTAAAAGAAATATGTTGGTCAAAGATATATATGATATACAAAGGAGGGTTAATATCCTTAACAGTTCAAAAAGAATCAATGTGAAAAGAACAGCTGAACAGAATTACTAAAAAGAGTTCACAGGAGAAATACAAATAGACAAAATATTTTAAAACAACTCTCAGCTTGACTAAAAAATAAAATAAAAACTAGAAAAGGCAAAAAGGTAATATTTCTCATTCATCAGACATTAAAAATGAAAAACTGATAATATCTAAGTTGTGAGACTGTGAAAATAAACACTGATGCATGGTTGTTAGAGAAGTTTATTCGTGTTGCTTTTCCTTGGAAAGTAAATCTCTGGCACCTATCAAAATTCAGTATCTGGTTAATGTTCAGCTTCTAGGAACTGATACTTCGGACACAGAAATATAGTCACACTGTTTCTTATTCATATACTGCTCTTCTCCTGTTTTTTGTCTAAAAATTCTTATGCATGTTTCAGTACTAGGTTCAAACGTCCCTTCCTCATGTCCGGGGCCATGTTTAATTCAGCTTGTATTCCTCAGCACAATTCCAGAGCCCGAGCAGTATTTTAAAAGCATGTGTAAGGGCGAGGCGACACAGAGCTTGGCAGCAGACCACTCAGAAGCAATACGAGAACATGAAGGCATCCGCGTGCATTAATGACGTCTAGAGCAAACAGAAACAATATTCTGAAGGTATGAAGAGAAGAGTTGCTGGCGTACAACTAGAGTGAGTCTGGAAGAGGGGGTCAAAATAAAGACAAGCAAAAGCGGTCCCACGTATAGATTCCTAAGGAACAGAAAGCTGGTTAAAAAAAAAAAAGCCTATGGTGAGAAAGTAGTTATTTCCAGTCTTGAAACTAAGCCCATGTTTTAAAAAAAGGGAGTGGGGGAGGAGGACCCAGCTCCTCGGGAGGCTGAAACAAGAGAATCGCCTAAGCTCAAGAGCTGGAGGTTGCTGTGTGCTGTGATGCCTTGGCATTCTACCCAGGGCGTCAAAGTAAAACTCTGTCTTTAAAAAAAAAAAAAAAAAAAAGTGGGGGGAGGGGAATACTCCTTAAGAAAAAAATTTCAAGATGAAAAAGAACTCATAAAAGCTGCTTCACTGACCCTTCATAATCTCCTAGAATGGAGCCTACAAAACCTTTCTCTATTATAACCATATAGAAGATCTGAATGCAGAATACTGTTTACATGAATTTGATAAAAAGTTTAAATTACCATAACTGGAACTGCTATAAAGTACAATTTACATGAATTCTTTCTGCTTAACCCAAGAGTGGATTCTTTCTGTGTAGTTCTTTTAAGCAATGATTAAAAAGCTTAATGTGATTTCAAGATCATTTTTAATAATTATGCATAACATTCTTCTAAACTGTCTTCTATGAAATGAGATTTGATCATATTTAGCATATTTTTTCCTTATCTGCTAACCCATTCAGCTGTAATTTAAGCATTTATCATTTATTCATTCAATAAATGCTTTCTGAGCACAAAAGCGTTTGTCCAATGAATAAATGATGTATGTATAAATTATTAATGATGATCTTGAAATATACTTGAAAATTTATTAATCACACAAAGCCTTTAAATCTTTGTTTCAAACAAAAAACTTAGCAAGTAAATATGCCCCAGTAACTTATAAGAAAAATTGAAAGTAACTTATTTTTAAAAAAATGTTTTATTTGACTAATTTAAAATGTTAAAAATAAAAAACGTAGCCAACACTAAGACAAAATGAAAAAGTTACATGTTATACACACATATATTGAACACACAAAAATACAAAGGAACTATAAAAATAAACAGTAGGAATAGTAATATAAAAATACATCTACTTTGTATAAAAATATTAAAAATTAACCTACAGATTTGGCTACAGCTTTCTGGTCAAGTTTTATGCATTCATTAAAAAATGAATCAGAAAAGTATGAGCTATACACAGATAGCAAACTTGAAACAAACAGATGAAACAACTGAACAGAACCTTAGGGGGAAAAAAAAAGATATCCTATGGATTAGTCCAAAGCTGCTTCAAAGCAAACTGAAGCAAATTACTGCTTCAAATAAGGAAGTGCGGCACAGTGCCTTAGTTACTGGCTATATGGCAATTTTTCTATCACAGGGTTCCCAGGGTTCCAGTTTCTTTTAGCAAAATAAAGGGATAGAACTACTTTATTTCCAATGGTCGTTTTCAGCTCTAAAATTCCGATATGTGTTTTTCCCTAGCCAGTATTTTCCTATTCCAAAGCCAAGCAAATGTTTATACTCTTTTCATTATTCAAGATTAGACTGCTTTTTGTCTGGACGTGAATATAAATAATTAGATCATTTCAGCATTCCAAATTATAGAACGGAGTTTGAAGAGCGTCAGTCTAAGCAGTTTACTCAACACTAACTCCTGAAAGTTGTCGCTGGGACACTGAAGTATGCACTATAACGTGCTCTGAGAAAACACTGCTGTCTCTGTTCAGTTGAGCAAATCATCTGAGAAAGTGTGGCTATGGAGGACACATATTCAGTCTAACTTCATTCACTTCTCCACTTTTGACTCCCTTTATAAAACAATTCTGATAGCTGTCATGTCTATTACACACAGTATGGTACTGACATGCAAGTTATTCTGTTTACTCCTCAATCAGACCTGCTATGACAAATGTAATAACTTGGCTCGGCACCTGTGGCTCAAGTGGCTAAGGCGCCAGCCACATACACCTAAGGTGGTAGGTTCTAACTCAGCCCGGCCCTACCAAAACAACAATGACAGATGCAACCAAAAAATAGCCGGGCATTGTGGTGGGCGCCTGTGGTCCCAGCTGCTTGGGAGGCAAAGGCAGGAGACTCGCTTGAGCCTAGGAGCTGGAGATTGCTGTGAGCTGTGACGCCACAGCACTCTACCCAGGAGGATAGCTTGAGGCTCTGTCTCAAAAAAAAAAAAAAAAAAAAGTAATAACTTAAGAACTTACCGCCCGAGCTGAGTCCCCAAAGTCTATCTTCAACCTCCCCATGGCCCGAATGATGGCGATGATTGACTGGATGGTGTTACTGTAGACCACCGCTTTGTACTGTTTACACTCCTCTTCTGAATAACCAGCTTCGTGGATGATTCTAAACAAGACAAAGGGAAGAAAAGAACACTTACTTCCTTTGATGCAAAGGTAACAGTAAATGCAGAAAACAGATTTCATGTTTAAGTCTACTTACTTCATCTGCTTCACAATTGTACTTTTCCCAGATTCACCAGCACCTAAAAAAATAAAAATTCTATATTGATTATTATTACTAAATTATACCACCTCCCAATACACACAACACACACACTGTCTCTTAGAGCTGAATTTTATTTTATACTCAACGAGAAACAAAACAGCAAATATGAAGGCTGAGCTAGTCTAAAGATGTAACATACGACGTAAGGATGACAGTTCATAACGGAGTACTGCATTTGGGAGTTGAGCTAAATTAACAGATTACAGCTATTCTTGCATGAGAGAAAATAGGTAACTATATGAGATGATGGATATGTTCATTTGTTTCACTACAGTAACCATTTTACTATAAATATTATATTTCTCTCTTATATCATGCTTTATACATTAAACATACAAAATAAAGGCTTTTTGCAAATAAAAATAAAATGAGCTGTATTTGTTTCTAAACATGTAGAATGAGGCCCATCTCCCTGTTACTTTATAATAGTTAAATTCAATAAACTCAACTAAAAAAAAGTTTTCACTCTTGTTTATGAATATTCTCTAAAGTATTAAAAAATTCCATCTTCTCCAACTTAAACTGATACACTCAAGATTCTGCTCCCCATTGGAAGATTTTTAACTGCTTGACCAATTATCTTAATTTTAACCTTTGGCTCTTGTGAAGTAGACAACAGTGGCTCCAAGAAACCCCATGAACAGGAATTCTTAAATGTCAGATGTTTGTATAGCTATGTCTCGTGCAATGTGTGTTTAATCATTATTATACAACTGACATGATTTGCAAGCACTGGAGACGCAATGCTGTGATGCACAAAAATGTATTCTCCTGAATTTTTTTTTTTTTTTTTTTTTTACAGTTTTTGGCCAGGACTGGGCTTGAACCCGCCACCTCTGGTATATGGGGCCGGCGACACAGGTGCCACCCCCTTCTGAGTTTCTTTCTTCTTCCTTGCCAAATAAGTCCGAGAGCCAGAGCCATTCTCAAAACTCTCCATCACTCTGTCCTTACACAGGGTCTCCCCCGGATTTGAGTTCCTACCATTATACTATCCTAACTTGAAAGTATTACTAATGAAATGGCCACTCATGAAATTAGGGCCCTCTGAAATAGCTTCCCACTTAGCAACAGCTGCTCTCTTGATACCAAATTAGATCAATGATTTGTCAGGCTCCTCTTGATTGCTGGATGTTCAGAACATCTGAGCACCGGACACAAGCTATGGAAGATATTAGAAACCTACTACCATATGGCTTCACATGTCCTAGAGGAATTTATTACTGTTTGAGAACAGGGCCGGGGACTTTAAGTACTTGGGCCCATATTTCCATTTTCCTAGGGCTGTTCCTACAGTTTTATGCTCAGCATTACTGCACAACTTACAGTTCCAAGAACGCCCACTGCTGATCATGCCACGTGGTTCAAACACACAGTTTCGCCTGGCAAAATGCAGTTTGCTCTGCTCCTGCCATCTTGGTGATCTTTTACCAACCACCCAACTGACCTCCTTTGCCAGCCTCTCCCGACCTACCCTGCACGTGACGGCAGCTGCCTCTCACTCTGCATGTTTATATTTGAATTCTCCGCAGCTAGCTTGTGCTAGACACACAGTCAACCAACCAGAAACGTCCTTGAATTTATGTAAGCTATTTGTGACTGACACAATTAGATGGTGACTACGGCCGGACTGTGACTTCTGGGCTTCATCCCTCCCTTTGCCCTTCCTGCCCTCCAGCCACACGGACAGACACACATGCGCATCCAAGCTATCAAAGGCATCTGAAAACAGGTTGTAGCCAAACGGCCTATTTGAAAATCTGAGGATGAAACTGCCTGAATTTTCCTTGCTGTTTTAGATCGAGAAATTTTTCCAAAATACCCTCACACAACAGAAAAGCAAGGCACTGGATAAACAATGAGGGCATTCTTCATTCACAGGCAGCCTTTGAATCTTTCAGGGTATCTGCCAATAAAAACAATTCCAAGATAAACAACCCATTATTTGTTAATCAACAACAGTGTACTTGGCTCTGTGAAAAGCACAATTGCAGGCATTATGGCTCACACGTTTCTCTAATCCAGGGACGGTCCACCCAAGTAACACAACCTACACAGTTTTTAGCATAACTGTCTTTGAAGAGACGGCTCTGGGTTTCCACAGACCTTATTGCAAGTTGAGTCACAGTTGCCATGCTGTGATGATGAGACTGTCTAGATCCCCTACATCCACACACAAGGGTGGTGATTCCACAGGCATAATGAGCTTCTCTCAATAGCTACCCATGGTCCATTTTGTTAGGCCTAGAGAGAGGTTCAAGCAATCTCACCTAGGTTTGTGTTCTACTCAAGGAAGAAAATCAGAAATAGTAAATAAGACCATTTCCAGTTGAACTTTTAAACCTTAACAAGAGAAAAACAAATTTTCCTAATGTCGGCCATTATCTTTAAATTCTAAATCACTTCCTATCTCAAAATAATTGGTAATGTGAGACACTTAGATTACTTTGCAATGAACATCTAGTTAACAGCTCGTGGTTCAAAAAATCCTGAAATCTATTTAACCTTAGAGAGTGGAGATAGCAGTCATATTAATTGGATTTCTACTTTCTTTACTAGTCACAAAGTATTCTATCTACAGGCAGAAATTATGCAAAAATCTTTCAAAGCTTAGCAATTTACATGATTAATTTTCAATTCCTCAGAGGAAAATTACAAATGGTAATTTGTCATGTGGTTAAGGTTTCAACATTCTAAATACTTGCCTTCTCCCCATACAACATACAGGAAAAAGTCAATGGTTGTTCTCTAAAACATCTCTGTCAGCAGTTACTTCTGAGATGCTGGCAGGAAGCAATAATATAAAGAAAAACCAAACCAACCAACCAACACTGGGAGTGGCAGGGCATGGGCTTGGGGAATTGGTACATTTTTTCCAGCAGTACTCGTCCAGGCTGCTCTTACATTGCACTTAAATCCAGAGTGGGATAAAATGTACTCCCATCTTACCAAAAGCAATGTTAAGAAGAAATAAGGACTATATAGTACGTGGCAGGAAAGATCAGAGGGTGTGACCACTTTTGGACACAAGGCCTAGCAGGCCACGGTGACTAAGTGGCCCGTGAAGGACTGTCAGTAAGCTGTGGTAGCACTGCAGAGGTACCGGAAGGGAAGAATGTATGCGCCGTGGCTGAGGCGGCCTGGGACTGTGAAGCAGGGGTGGCATCCCTAGGGAGGAGGAGTCATCCCCAAGGTCTCCCTCAGGGCTCCTGGCAGAGGAAGGGGCTGTCAGAAAACACTGAGCCAGCAGGTGTCTGAAAGGGAGCTGGCAAACAGTAAGACTGCACCGCACAGATGGGGGGTGGGGGGGGCAAGGAGCACCAGCGCAGTCACTGGGAGAGAGGACCCATCTGCAGATTGAGCTCCAACACACAGCAGCTACTCATGGGATCCATGAAAGGGAACTGAATGGAGCTGAGCCAAGATAAGGAATGGAGGGGGAGGAGGAAGAACGAAAAAACAAATCAGGACCTAAATACAGTAACCCTTGCTAATTCCTTGGATAGAATTCTGTAATTTACTAGTATAAAAATGACAGTCAAATAGCATCTGCTTCTGATTTTGTTGAGGGTTCTAAAAAAAAAGCAAAACAAACAAAACCACCTCTGACCTTTTTAAAGAGATTCTTTATTCAACTTCCTGCTTAGGGACATACTTGTCTCCTTTTTTGCTTGGCTTCAGAGTTGTAAGGTGCCCAACACTCCAGACTGTTAAGTGAAAACGTGGTGATATAGTCTCTTGTCTTATCCTGGATTCCTGACACCACTACTCTTCTTTTAAGTAATCTCAATTTTTATGTTTAAATTAACATATTAGAATATTAACATATTAGAATTTAGTAATTTAAAATGTTAACACTGAATAAAACTAAACTGCAATTTAGTATTAAATGACATAAAACGATATCAAAAGTACATTTAAAATCACTTTTGTTTATCATAGCGCTATCATAAAATGGACAAGATCCAGGTCCCTACACTTAGGACAGAAGCAAACAAACAAGTCCATAAAGGCAAATATAAATAACAAAGTAGGAATCTTAACTCTCCCTGTTGAAAGAAAAGGAAATGATTTCCCTCCCCTCCTTTTCCTTACAGCATTTACTTTAGAAAAATTATAACTGGAAGTACTTTCCCCCCTCTTTGAAACGTATATAATATATCCTTTTGAAAACTAAATAGGTCTTGTCAGCTTCTCAAAGTCCTGAAGCCTTCTCGTTGATATGTAAACATCAAGGGAAATGCGTCCATGACACTTTGCTCCTAGTTGCAAAACTACCTCCAGTCATAAAGATAAGAGTCTGTTTCTCTTCAGGATAAGGCCAATTAGTTAACCCAGATGGTAATCCCAATGACCACAGTAAAGTTAGGATGAACTATGCGTGACAACACCTGCTGTCAAATCCTCTTACTTGAGGACACAGTTGATGCTTATCTTGTAAATATTTAAGTAATGGGCTGCACTGCTTTGTATATATATAAGGGATGAGATATGTCTATACAATCTCTTAGCGGAATGCCAGTGATGCATATCAGATTCTGGTTTAATGCTTATTTAATAATAAAAAATGTTTTCCTTCTCGACTATTTTGTGGAGAACACTTCTGGGTCCAGAGAAGATTTTGGCTCTAATTATCACTCCCCACCTGGAATGGTAATCTAAAATTAAAATCTTTTCTATTTAGCTATAAGAAGTTCTGGACTTATATTTGAACACATATTTACATACAGCGGGATGTACCTGACATTCTGGGATGGAAGAATAATTTGATAATGACTGTGCACACCAAAATACCAAATCTAAAGCCTCAAAATGACCCCACTTCCCCCAATCTTAATTCCCCATAAAACTATGCCCCGCACCATTAATCCCTGCAGTAGGTATCACACTGTTATACTGAGTAAGTGTGAATGCACACGAAGGAATGAAATCAGCATGTGGAAGAGGCAGGGGCAAGGCCATGTTTATTGAGGCACT